TGAAGCCCTCAGCCTGGCGCAGCGTGGAACCGACGGTCTTCATGCGGGTGGTTGTCAAAATTAGGGTCCCTTTTTGGGTCCTTAATTTAAATTTAAAAAGCACCGACTATTTTAGGGTACCCAAAAAGGGACCGTAATTCTGACAACCACCCATGCATGCAAAGGGGAACCGACAGTATTGACTCAGGGCTTCGGGCTTGTTTTTTCAGCACCGTTTTCTGCCTTGCAGGGCTTTGGGCTTAGGGGTTAAGGGTGAACACTGCCAGCAAGAACAGAAGAGGGCGCCTGCTTCTCAGCCAATGCCCGAGCAGCAACCAGACCGACGAGACCCCTGTGGCAGCCTGCTCCCAGAGAACCCGATACCCCTTAAGGAATATGCCTTAAACCCATAATATTACGGCCTCTATAGTTCAAGCTATATTCCTGAATTAAGGGGCATTGGGTTCTCTGGGTGCTGAAGCGATTGGCTTGACGGCTTCACACCTGCAGCTCACGGATACAATCTGAATGAACACAATCCAAAGCTCGAATTCCTCCTGGTCTTCGAGGTTCAGCACGACAGAATGAGGCCAAGGCGGCTATATAACCCAGTGCTACATTTGAGATTTAGGATTTGGGGTTGAAGATTTGCAACATGTGGAATGAAGCCTGCCATGCCATGTCAACTCTGAATCTGCAACAACCCAGGCAACCCAGGCATCCCACCGACAAGATTTCTAGGTACAATCCCTGCACGCATGTCCTCTCTGAAACCCTACACCAACCTTTTTCGAACGTGAAAGGCTCTCCGAAACCCGAAACGAGCCCATCAGCACCGACGGATCCTACACCAACAAGGAACTAAATCCCCAACCCTGGGCCCAAGAAGTTATAGACAGCCAAATATCCTCAAACTGCACCTTGGAATCTTGATTGAACAAGCAAGACATCGCCTTGGGGAGCGGGGGAAGCTCTTGGCAAGCATTTCGCACCATGGCCGGTGCGGCAAGTAACAATTTAGGGTTTAGAGTTTAGGTTCTAAGGTTTAGGGGCTTAGGGTTTAGGTGTTTAGGGTGTAGGGTTTGGGGGTTTAGGGGTTTAGGGGTTTAGGGTTTAGGGCTTAGGGGTTTAGGGTTTAGGGTTGTGCAGGAGTGTTACTTGTAGCAGCAGTGTCTATAGGTTTAACAAGGAAAACAAACCGGAGAGCATCGTACACAAGGTCCCTGCATAGCCAGCATGTGCCGTGTTTGAATGGTACTGGGCTGCCTGGGTGTGAAAATTTGCATGCAACATTACTCACAAACCGTGCGTGCTGTGTCCAAACAAGTGGGCTTGCCTGAGCAACAAAGCGACGAACCCCAAACAACTTCGCATGGTCATGGTATCACCCATGAGTTTTCCAGATTTACATTGCAAGCAACAACGAAAAATCTGCTTTGAGACCAGAGCTACAGCAAAGCGTTGCCTTCACAAAGCAATCTGCTTGCTTCTGCTTCAAAGCTAAGCTGCACAAGGCCGCGGAAGGATAAAACATTGGAGGAGGCCGTTGCGAATGTGGTCGAGTGAACGTTAAGATACGACAATACACCACAAATCACTATCATATTCTGTGATCTACTATACCATACTACTACATGCTGTGATACGCCATAATATACTATAATACGTCGGCTGCTGGCGTCTTATGAAGATACTGGCCCCGCACCTACCGACACGTGTGACTGGTCATCATCCTACTGCTCGCGGGCCTACTTGGGATGTTCCGACAATTAGGGGTACCTTTACTATACTGAACTTAGAACCCTAGCAAAAAATATATGTTTAGCTGTTTCTTAGGGATTATAATAACCAAGAATTAAAAATTATTTCTAAGTACCCCTAAGTTTAAAAGGATCCATAAGGACTCCTTACAGGGATCTATAAGGGTTCCTATAAAGGGCTAAGGGTTTTGGGAGTTTCCGAAAATTAGGGGGACCCTATTTTGGGGGTCTGCAGAATAAGGATCCTACATGTTGGGGTCCCCTGTTTTCGGAAACTCCCACTTAAGGTTTTTGGCAAGAAAGTTGGTTCTGCTGTTGGCTCGCTTTTCGTTGTTGGCCGTGCCTTTTTCTTGAATCCCGAACCCTAAACCCCAAACCCTACACCCTAGACTTAGAATCACAGATCACAAAGACCCTAAACCTAAATCGAAACCCTCAACCCTAAACCTCGAAATTCCTGAACCTGAAGCTGCAAGATAACCTCACCTGGGTGGTTGTCAAAACTGTGGGTTTAGGGTTTAGGGTTTAGGGCACTGTGGTCCCTTTTTGGGTCCCTATTGTCATACGGCACCCATTTTTTAGGGTACCCAAAAAGGGACCCTTTTTTTGACAACTACTCACCAGGACACGGCTGAAAGAAAGGCTTCACAGGGTTTCGGGTTGGGGATTTACGGCTTCTTTTTCCTAGCTCCCCTTAGCACCCCACTGCTTCAAGGGATGATGTATGGGGAAGGGAAGATGGTGCATTGAAGCTTGAAGACAGGAGTTGCATATTGACTGTCATAATGTTGAATACATAGGCAACAAGCAACCGGGTTCCTCACCTAACGGGAGGGGTGGGTGAAATGGGGTGTGGTCTGATCATCAAGCAAAGAGCTTGTTGTTCCTGGCTTTGCGCTCGCATGGCTCCTCACAAACTTCTAAAAAGTTGAGATACCTGAGCCTGCATGGATGCTTTTCCAGCTGTACAGATATGACTGTGGACACAGTGCGCACGAAAGTTGCATTGAAAGCTAAGGATGTGCACACGTGTACACAAATTAGGGACGGAAAACGGAAGAGCATCTTGGATGTGAAACCTACTCAATGTAACCAAGATGATCCGTCACCCAGTCTACCCTATATACTCCACATACGCTACACCCATTATTCCAACTTTTTTCAGATGGAGGTGTCGGAGTCGTGCACTCGGATCTGCGCCGACGAAGGGACATATCTCCAGACAAGAACAACCACGAGTCCACAAATCCCTAAGAAGATCGACTCCTTTAATTCGACGCTTGGCTTCGCGAGCTCACCAATGACGTACTCGTTCAGCGTCCGCGCAGCAGCAGCAATTAAGACAAAGAGAAGCAGAATGCCCATCGACAGTAGGAACTCCAGGTACCACCTGAAGGATCGGGAGCATAGTGAGGAGGGATTCATGCCCAGGCCACTAATAAGCACCCTTTTGAGAGATTATACCTTGCAAAAAATGGATTTCTCCTCAAATGAAACAAACCGGAACCACACCAACAGGAAGGCATAATATTGAGAAGCACTAAATAGGACAGCAGAAATCGCGACATAACTTCCATGACAGCCGCCTCAACAACAGACCCCACGCCCTGGCTGAAGAGTGATTGCTGCTTGTGACCTTTAGGTTGCACAGCGGAGGTATCGAAAGGAAGTGGTAATTGTCAACCTGACCCTTCGAGGAAGAATCCTAACCCCCAGGTACTAACTCACCGAACCGACCTAAAAGCCTATCAGACTCGTGTGGAAGCTCAAACCGTCATGTACCAATCCGCAGCAAAAAGCTACATGCGCTGTAACCCTCCACCCGGCAATCGACAATGACCTCGCAAGTGAAAGCTCAAGCGCAGGAAAAGCTTGGCCATACCTCTGGCAGCAATAAACCTGATGCCCTAAACCCAAACCTTCTTCAGGAGTTCTATCGGATATCCCAGGGATGTACCGCGCAGGATATGAAAGGTTACTGGCCAAGCTTTTCCAAGATCCCATACGTGAGATCGTCTTTAAGGAGGATACCAGCCGGCAGCGTTTATTGGGACTCAACATTGGGAATTGTAATTAGGTGCATGATTTGAAGCTGCATGGGGCGAGGCCCAAACAGGCTTCACAGAGACACATTTACCGTACTTCCACTTATGAGGAACCCCAAACAGACACCCCAAAATCATGAAAGTCTCCCGAGCTGTACCGGATACATGGGAGAACGGCGAGCCAATATGCCAGGCCCCCTAGGACGCCAGCAACGCGTTCGCTCGAAGAATCTCTGCTTAAGCTCCAATCCAGGAACATCCAAAATGACGGTGCCGTGGCACCCACAACACGAATATAGGAGTACACCTGGACAATTCTCAGAAGTTGAAGTTTAGGGTCTTGGGGTTTAGGACTCTGTGTGTTGGGTTCAGGGTTTGGGCTTAGGGTTTTTTGGGGCTGGCTGCTGCCCGCATACTGCAGCCCTTGATACATTGGGTAGAGGAAGGCCTGGTTTTGAAGACTATATGCCCGGACCTTGTTCCCGAGATGGTAGGTCAGAGCTGCCTGCACTTTCGTTTGCACGTAGTGCTCAAAATCCTCAATGGGGCCGAACCATGCCGAGATGCAGCGCAGAATAATGCTGCGATCACACAGGCTATTCTCAGGATGTCCCTTCTGGCAGCATGTGCTCGTACAGTGCTGGAGTGAAAACTGCTTCGCTTGTTGCTGCACCATGTCGATGCTGCGGAAATGCGCTCGCATGGTGTATACCAAAAGGGGCATCGTGAACATGGCCAATGCACCCACGACGATCGAGAGGTCCAGCGACAAATCGTTAATTGGCAAAGTGACGATCAGGATCATCAAGACAGAGAAGCCTCTTGGATTTGTTCAAAACAAGGGTGCTGCTGGCGACACTGGAAATCTAGAGAGATAACAGGCTATTCCTAGGGCCACAGCATGAAAAATCAGAGGAGCATGACAACGAAGCATGGATCTCAAACCCAGAGCATACAGCTTCAGCCCTAAGCACCTACAACCTAAACCCTCAACCCAGCCTATATGACAGGATATCAGTGCCGGCCCTGCAAGAATCGGACAAATCACCAGGTTCCTGCTCCGGTCATCCAGCGGATGAGCATGCAAAAATGCACTAAGCTCAAATATGCACCACAATCTTTGCATATAGGTCTCCTGTTGTTGTTGTAGATGAAAAACGACATCAGCTTGGACTCCCGAAAGAGCAGCTAGACGCCAACGCCACCCTTAGCAGCTTCACGCCGATTGACGCCGCTGCTGCCTGATCATGTTGACGAAGCGATCATGCCAGTCCTGCGTAGCTGCTCGCTGAGCTGCCACAGCATCCCGCGCCCACTCAAACCTCTCGTCAGCGGCACGAGCCGCGTGAGCCACTGCTTGACTGCAAGGCTGCAGAGCCGAGCCAGCAGCAGCGTCTGCCCGCCTATTAAGAGCTTGACAAGCGTCGGCATCAATCCAGCCTGAGGGAGGCGTCCAAGAGGCCTGCTTGTTGTGAGCCGGAACCCATGCCACTTGCAGCCAACGCACCGCCTTTGCCACACGCTTCCACGGCCTCCAAGGGTCACCATTTTCGCACGCGGCCTCACCGCCAAGCAACCTGCCAGCGACAGCTTGGTTGTCCACGAGAAGTCGCAGCCACCGTCCGTGAAGAAGGAGCGCTTCAGCCAGTATGAAAACTGCAACGCGCTCACCTTCCGCCGCCGTCTGGTCCGGTCCTTCAACAAGGCCTCCAAAGGATTTGTCTGCAAAAGCGATGGCCCAGGAAGCCTGCTGAAAACCCTCCGCCTTTCTCGCAAGGAGGCAACCACCGTCAGTTGCCACGTAGTGGAAGAGGTCGCTGTCAAGCTCGCTCAAGTACTCTGCCACCTCACCGACCTGCACGCTGTAGTCCGCAAGCGGGCGCCGGGGAGGTAGAGGGCGAAGCGCCGCCAAGAACCGCCGCTCCAGCAAAGTCCGCCGCGCAGAGCTCCACGTAGCTCGAGGACAGTCAAAGGTCAAGTGCGTCCTGGTAGGGCCTGCAAAGCCACAAGTGCAAACCAAGTCCTGCACGTTCCCGTCTTTAGGCGTCAAGCTCCTCGCGTCAGAAGCTGCACCAACCATGACGCGCAGCGGGTAGGTTTGGGCCACGTCACGCGTTTTGACTTGGTAGTTCAAGTCAAAGTCGCCGTCAAAGCCACCAGCCTGCTTGGCCTTGTTGTCTTGCAAGAAGAGCTTGCGCGCACCGTCCTGACGCATGAGCCGTCGCAGGGCAGGAGCACCGACGTCGCCCGCCTGAAAGGAGCCATGGCGAGTGTGCCAAACACCTGCGTCGTCACGAGTCCAGCCAAAGTACCTCAAAGCAGCCTTGGTCTGAGGAGCCTCGCGCGGATGCCGCCCAAGCTGTAGTCTGCGGTGTTCACGTAGGACTGCAGTCTCCGCGTTGACGAAAGCCGGGTAGAGCTCAAGCCCCAGCACAGCTGCCCAAGCCAGAGCAGGCGAACGGCCTCTGGGTATGCTGCCGCCCCAGGCCGCTCGCTCGATGGCACCAGTCCATGCCTGTACGTCCTTCTTGTACTGTCGAAGCCAAGGCGCGGCCCAACGGAAAAGAGGAACTACCAGAAGCCGAAGAAGCGCGCAACGAAGACTCCTGGATTGCCCGCACAGTTGGATGCGCTTGCACCTCGCTTTAAGAACCTTGCCAACGGTGCCAGCAGCGATCGGAGAGGCCGCCGTGGTGTTGTAAGGAAGACCCAAAAGCCGAAACGTCTGCTGCGGAATGCCCACCTCGTCAGCTGCAGCCAACAAATCTTCTCTCACAGGCTGTGAAGTGCCAAAGCTCTCCAACTTAGCCGGATGCAGCTCGAAGCCTAAAGCCTGGTCTGCTTCCCTTCCCGCCACCATTGCCGCCCGCACAGCTCTGGCCGCACCACGGCGCTTTCGCACCCAGATGGCCCTGTCGTCAAGAAAAACCGACAAAGTACAGCCTGTATCAGCTTTCTTCACCGCCGCCAGCCACACTGTCATCATACTGTTGAGGCAAAGAGGAGAAAACGGGCATCCTTGCAGCAAAGCCGCAGCCTCCACCACAGGGTGCCTGGCACAGGCCCCCTCCACCATGAGCCAGCGCTCGTGAAGCTGGTAAAAGCGCTCGATGACAGTGAGCACGTTCTCAGGAGCCCCTAAACGTCGCATGCACTGCACTGCCAGCTTGGGGTCCGCAGAGTCAAAGCACTTCTTGACGTCTGCCTTACAGCCCGCAAGAGGCCCGCCACCACGTTGCAGGAAGAGAGCGTTGGAAAGAGCAGCATGAACGTCATCAATTCCTCTGTGCGGCATGCCACCAAACAGCTCCGCAGGAAAAACTTCGTGCACCCAACCGGTGAGCTGCCGAACCAGGCAAGTCGCGCCCAGCCTCCAAGCTAGCGCAGCGATGGCCAGAGGGCGCAAGCCACCATCATCCTTCGGAATGAGGCACACGCGTACCTGCACCCACGCGGCCGGCAGCGGGGCCCCATCAAGCACTGCGTTCCACACCACCGCGAGGAGGTCAAAGAAAGCCTTCGGCAAAGCCTTCCAGAGGCTCCCAGTCCAGCCGTCAAGGCCAGCTGCTTTGCGCGCCGCCGCCTTTGCCAGCCGCAAGAGCGCGGAACCGTTCACAGTAGGAGCCTGCGCCGGCCGAGCCTCCGGAAAGTCCAGGTCGTTGAGCAGCTGCTGCAGTGCTTGCCCGTCGGGTCGAGCGTCGCGGTGCCAGCGTTTCTTCCACTCCACAGTGGCGTGCTCCGCCCTCGCCTGCGGTTCCGGGTCCACGCCAAAGTCTTCGAAGTTGCTTGGAGCCTCCACTTGAGACGCCTTGATCCAGCGGGAAAGCCGGGGAACGTCCGTCTTGACTGCCTCACGCCACTTGTCCAGACGTGCCTCGTTGGCACGCCGCGCTTCCGCCTCCGCCGCCTGCTGCAAGTAGAGGAGCAGAGCCTCGCCGTGTAGGTTCAACGCCTCTGCAAAGTCAGGGTAGACGTCCACCACGTGGCGAACGTAGTTCACCAGGTTGCGGTAGAGCGCCAGGTTGCCCGGCTGCCGAATGGCCTCATGAGCCTTGCGAGCTGCGCGCCGCAGCTTCCGTTCACAAAGCGTCTGGACGTCGGGCACCCTGCCGCGGTGCGCCTCCGCCTTCACCGGCCTGCCAGGCTCGCCCCGTGGCCGTGCCGGCCTGCTGCCCTCCGCCGCCAGCGCCTGCTCCGCCACGTAGGAGAGAAGTCGCCAGGCTGAGTCCGTGTCTGCGTTGCCAAGGAAAGCCCAGAAGCGCTCGTCGTGAGGGGCCCAACAGCTGTCCCAGTCCACCGTCGCGTTCGCGTCCAAAGCTCGTTGCGGTTGCCAACGCCAGCCACGTCTGCCACTCTGTAGTCCAACGTCGTAGGTCACGAGGTCGTGGTCTGCAGGGCCGAGGAGTTGAGCTCGGCCGTCCACCGCCAAGCCCGCAGAGGAGAGCCCGAAGTCCAAAAGCCTGCCCGTGTACGTGCCGTCCGCGCGTCTGTGAGTGCCCTGGGTCTCGAAGAACGGGTCGTTGTCCATGGCGTAGACAAGGCCGCCCGCCAAAAGGTTGCAGAAAGGCTGCTGGTTAGGAGTTCGGTTCCAGTCCGCCATGAACACAAAGTCTTCGCCGGTAGTGCTCGCCCATTGTAGCACCGTTGAGGCGATGTGCTGGTTGAGCTCGTCGTCATTGGCAGGCAGGTAGCCGCAGATGACGAGGAGTGGCCGCTGGTTGGGGCGGTGGGCCTTTACCGCCATAACGCGAGTGTTGAAGCTCTCCGCCACAGGGACCGTCACCATCTCCACCGGCCAGTCGGAAACGATAGCCACACCACCACAGGCCTTGCCCTCGGAGTCGTAGGCGAGAGGGCCAGGTAGAAGACGCCAGCCCTTCGCGTGAAAAGCTTGCCTCATTGCGTGGAGACCCTCCGTCGTGAGCTTGGTCTCTTGAAGGCAAAGGACATTGACTGCCGCGTTAGCCGCCATATCCATCACTGCCCCCATTTTGCCCGTCAAAGAGCGCACGTTGCAAGTACCCACACGCAGCTTGGGAGACTCAGGCATGTTGCCCCAATCCCCTCGCCAGCTCGTCGACAGCAGCTTGGTCCTCCGCCGTGCCCCCTCCGTTCTCGCCGATCAACTTCAAGACCGTCGTTGCCGCATCGCCCGCAATGCCCCCGTCCTTCTGGATGCCCTTGAGCTCCGCAACCTTGGCCCGGATGGCTCGCCGCTTGCTCGGCTTGCAGTCCTTGCCCTCCACGTCGCGCTGCCGGTCCAAGAGCCGCCACACGTCTTGCAGACAAAGCGGACCTCGAAGCGACCTCCCACCAACGGCCATGCCACAGCGCACAGCGCGTGCTTTGCAACAGGGCCCTCGTCCGTCTCCTCCAGCAACTTCAAAAGGTAGCGGACGTCGGACTGCACGCCCTCGTCGAGTGAGCCCTCCTCCAGCGTCGTTCGCAGCCGCTTGAGAAGAGCGGGGCGCTTCGCACCAGCAGTGTGCGCCTTGCACGAAAAACCACCAAGCGCAACCACCGTAGAAGCCAGGCGTTTGCACCGCGTGCACACGACTTGCGTCACAGCCCTCCTCGTCTTGCCCTTCTTGGTCCCCCTCGTCGGCGGCAGCTTCACGAACACGACGTCGTGCTCTCCAGCCTTGCCAGCGCGAACTTGGTGAAGACGCCGAGCAACCCCTGCACTGAGCTTGGCAGTCGTAGCCTTCCGAGCGTTTGCGGCCCTGTCTCGTGCCAGGCGGAAAAGGGCTTTAGGGGCCTCCGGGTGAGTCTCCTCTCTGTGTCGCAGTCGGGCCAGCCTCCTCGCGTCCTTGGAAGCTTCTGTAGCCGGCAAGCCCATGTCGCATCCATCGACTGGACACTTCCAACAGCAGGTTGCTTGGTTGTAAGGGACCACACACAGCGCCGCCGTCTTCAGGTTGAGTTCCGCCTTGAGGTCAGGGTGGTAGTTGTCCACGTGGGCTTGCTTTCGCTGCACCCAAAGCCTGCCCGTAGCCTTCCAACCACACTCCGGGCACTTCCAGCCGGAGCGCGCAGACTTCACACACCGCTTGCGCCCTTGCGGCGCCACAGGCTCCGGAGGCTCAGGCACCTCCTCTACGGCAGCTTGCTCCTCGGTGGTGGAGCCCAGGGAAGAGGTAGCCGTCGTCCGCTGCCCTGTCAAAGCCTCAGTGCCCGCCTTCCTCGCTGCAAACAGGTAGCTGCGGATGTCTTTCGGCCTCGCGGTGAAGCACGTAGCTTCCGAAGCTTCCCTGCTCACTTCGCCACTGCCAGAAGCACGCGCCTCGCCCGAACACTGCGCCCTCCTCGTCGGAACGTGCGTAAAGACAGTGGACTCCGCCGCCTCCTGCTTTGCCACGACCACCTCGGTGAAGACCGTCTTCTCGGAGAAGTCGTCGCCACCAGCACCCTGGGAACCGCCGCCACGAGGAAAGTCGGTGACGTGGCCCTCAGCGTGGCCCATGCACAGCGCGTCAGGCAAGGTATTGCCTTCAACGGGGCACAACCAATCGAAATGCCCTGGGTTCTCAGTAAACCAAAGAGCGATGCGATCACGAGCGCTGGTGTTGTATGCAGCCTTAGCAAGCCGCATCGGCGCTGGGATGATATGAACCGCAACTTTGTAAGCCTTGGAGGCCCCGTAGGCTTCAAGGCTGCCTGCCCATCGTCCGTTCTCAGACATGTGATCAATGTACTCGGCAAAGCTGTCCATTTCCTTGCCTACAGAATCCTGCCCACTCCAAAATGGCTCATACGACGACTGGTGTTTGCGCATATGCGCATAAATCTCAGCACGGACACGGTTGGCAGGCAAGGCGGGCTCGTTGCGGAGCCTCCCCAGGGCCTGACCGATGACAGCATAAAAGCAATTGCCGTCTCCGTCAACGGCCTGCAACTTGACACCATCGGGGATGCTGCGCAACTTCTCCGAAAGAGCCTGCTTCTTGTTGGGGGGCTCCTCAGAGCCACCCTCGCCCTGCTTTGACTCCGGCTTGTTGCCCTGCTGTACAAGCGGCGCCTTGCTGAAGATGAAGGGCTTCCGGTCGATAATGGGTTTGGTAGCCCTCGTAAACCCAGGTCTCGAAGCGAGCATCCAGTAGCTAGTCTCGCCCTCGCCTTCCTTCACGAAAATCTGAAAAAGCATCGGCATCAGTGTGGGCCACTTTGGCTTTGATGAGCCAGTGAGCCCGTCCTTTCCTCAATGTCTTTCTGATGACTGCCGCCTCTTCAATGCCCTCCTGCTCCTGGACAAGCATGGAGACCAAGCCATCGCTCCACTCAACAGGTGTGCCTTGCAGCGAAAAGTAGCGCACAAAGCCTTTGCCAGAGCTCGCACTTGCCTCAGTGCGCAAGCCGATCTGGCGCTTGCCAATGAAGGCGCCAAAGCGAGGAGCGGCCTCAAGCGATCGCTTGAGAGCCTCCGGCCAGGACTCTTTCGCCTCAGTATCGAACCACTGAACGGCGCAGTCAACGTTGTGGTCTCGCCCAGCAGGCTCCAAGAAGGTGCCATTGACGCCCGAGAAGCTGAGGAGCGTCTCCACCGTCTTGACCGGAACACGAACCAAGCCCACCACAGCCGGGGAGCCCAAGCGAGTCTCCTGGGCGAAGCCCCAAGCGTCCTTGACAACCCCATGCAGATCACTCTTCAAAGTGCCCCGCACCCATCTCTGGACGGCAGCCTTCGGAGCCGAAGAGGCCCTGTCCCAATCTGCGGTTTCCAAGAAAGGCTTGCCGAAGACGATGCGCATGGTAGTCGTGGCTTCGCCTGTGGGAACGGCCTTGGCAGCAGCAGGCGCATGCTTCAACGTGGGCAATGGCGTGCCGGGCGTAAGGAAATCGATATAAGCAAAATGATGAATGCGAACATCGTTGCCGTCCTTGCCCTCCCCAACAATGGGGAGCTTGAGCTTGCCCTCGGAGTCTGCCCAGACCAATCTGGCTGAGCACTTGGCACCCGCACCTGTAAGCATCATCATCAATGCATCGGCCTGTTCCGCATCCCGCACTTGAACTAACACGGAGCCGTTCAAACTGTTCAGCTGTGAAGCTGCCTTGTCGTAGGAAAAGATTGCGCCATTCCAGTCACGGTCACGAAGCTGAGGGCGAGCGGGCGCAACCGTGGAAGTCTTCGCAGACTTTCCCTGTCCTTTGGGTGTCTGTGGAGCGCCTTTGCCCTTCCCTTTGCCAGGAGAAGCGCCCGCCCCGCTCACCACAGCCGCATAGCTGTTGGCCTTTCCGCCGCCTTTGGTAGGACCCGGCTCTGGCGGATCTGGCTTCTGGCGCCCCCGGCGGCGAACAGTCTGAAACCCATCACTGTCGATCTGGGTGGCATTGCCACCCCCTGCATCAAAGGACACCCGTCTGGGAGGCGGCTCAACCTCATCAGTGGCCCCACCGGTCATGGTCATAGGTCTCCTGGCTTTCGGCCCAGTTTAAGGTCAATTGAAAAGTCTTGATTTGTGTCAATTTCATCTTAGAACACAAGCAAGCACTCAAAAAAAAAACGAGCAGACACACGAATCGGTACTAAATCACTTCTGGTTGCATCCCATAGCACCACCATCGATCTGGAGTGTTTCAGAATCGCACCAATGCTTAGGATGCCTTCCATTTTCAACTTCATGTCAAGCTGGTTGATGCACACAACGTCGAGGAATGCAACCTTGGGGTATGCTGAAAAAATCTTAGGGTTAGGGCTTTAGGGCTAGGGGTTCCCGGGCTAATTACCCACTACCCATACTCGCTTTTCGTGCATATCAACCTGCCGCCGCTGCCACATCACCAGTGTCAGGTAGTGGGCACCAACTCCACACCTAGACAATTCTTGGGGAGTTGAGAAATTCTCAAACAGGGTGGCCTTTAGGTAGGAACAGAAGAACGATTGTACAGGGACACTAGGACTTCCCTACAGGTCCCGTTCTACTCCGAAGCAACGTCACATCACTTTCATGAGCACCCAATGTTGAGAAATCCTTACGTTGCAAGGAAACCGTTGGTGTAATCAGTCACTCGTCATGCAAGCATCTTGCTCAAATTGGGGTCCTTCTGACAGAGACCCTGATCCGAAACACTGCTTACCAGGACCTGACTTGAAAGCCCTAGAGATCATCCCTCTCTCTCCTGCATCTCCTTTCCTTCAAGCCGAGCCTATAGCAAGCACATACATCGGAGGAGGCTCCTCCTTTCAAACAAGCAATATACCCTCTGCTGTCTTCCTATGTACCCCCGATTTACCCTAAACATGGGTTCTCTACGTGACTACCTCAAATATCTGGCTACATCGGTGTGTCACCCTATAAACCCTAAAACCCCAAAAAACCTAACCCCCAACCCTTAGACATGGCCCTTCTCACTTCGAGTCCCTCTACAGCCCCCAGGTCTCGGGGTAGCGCTTTTTGAACGAAACCCCCTCCCGGAGACTCGAATATCCCTTAATTAAGGAATATGCCCATCATCATAGTAGGATCTCTACTATGATTTAGCAATTTAGGGTAAATTCCTTAATTAAGGGATATCGAGTCTCTGGGTACGTAGGAAGAACGGGCAGGAAAGCAAAACTGTCTGTCAAGCCCAGGTGCAGGGTACACCACCTGGTAGGCTGAGGCTTCTAGGGCTTATAGGGTCTTCCGTATGTTTCAGACACAGCAGGGGTCCTCATAGCTTTACAATATGAAACAAGGCACTTCTGAACTGCAGCCCAGCTGCTTGCACGAAAAGTCGGTCCCATCCTCCCATGCTGGGAAAACTCCAGCCCAGAAGAGTGCTCCACCAAGAATGGCACTGAGCATTCCCGTCACGAGAGCTGGCAGCCCATTGTGCAGATAGAGCATGTCGATGTACTTCAGCCTCGGATGTGAGGAATTCCCTGAATTATGCTCCAATTTGGGCTCTAGTTACCATATTCTAGCAAGGACACCAAGACCACAAAAAAGAAACTGATAATAACTGGTTCGGAACAATGGAATTCATTCGTTCGGGCGACACTCAGGGTACATTCAAAAGATTCAAGGTTTCCCCCTTCCCTGATTCCTGTCCTTCACGACCCCATGTTGCCTCACGTCCGATAACCGAGGATGCCCACATAGGAACCCAACACCAATCGCAACAAACCCCAGATCAACGGCGCAACCCCAAAGTCGCTGAAAATGCTAAACGCCCAATCCTTTTTTGCACTCTACATCCTTCATCCGACACCAAGGTCTATGCTCCGAGAACCGAGACCTTACAACCTAAACCGACTCCAAACCCTCTAAGGCTCAGCCTCCCAGCCCTACTTGGAGGTTCATGGGTAGTTGTAAGTAGGGTTTACAGGGGTCCTTTTAAAGGGATCTACAGGGATTCTCTAAGGGTATAGGGTTTAGGGTTCATGGGTAGTTATAAGTAAGATAACTGTACTTATAACCCATATTAGGGGACGTATAACCCTACTTACAACTACCCATTGGGACTTAGTAAGTACAGTTCTAAGCATAGTTACCTTATTCATAACCCTAGTTACTAAGTACCATGAACCTCCAAGTAGTCAGCTTCCGATCCCAGCAGCCATGCCATTGCCTTCCAACTATGGGACCAGAACTCATCCTGAGCCACGCTTGGAATCCGAATGCGGTTGGTTTAGGGCTTCTCTTTGACCCAGAGACTCCAATACCCCTTAACTAAGGAATATACCTTAAATTGTAGTAGGATCCTTAATATGCTTTAAGGTATATTCCTTAATTAAGGGGTTTTGGAGGCTCTGGGGAGCTCCTTTTGCATGCCTGCGGCTGACGGCCATCAAGGCCCAAAAAGGCCAAGAGGCCGAGGAGGCTCTTGGAGGTTCATGGGTAGTTCTTAAGTACTTGAAGGATCCCTTAAAGGGCTCCTTAAAGGGATCTATAGGGTTCCTTAAAGGGGTCTATAGGGTTTAGGGTTTAGGGTCTACTTGAAGGATCATGGGACTTAGTGAGTAGGTTATAATTGGGGTTATAAGTCCCCTAAGTGGGGTTATCCCAATTATAACCTACTTATAACCTTACTTACTAAGTCCCATGAGCCTTTAAGTAGGGTTTTATAGGGGCCCTTTAAAGGGATCTATAGGGATTCTATAAGGGTATAGGGTTTAGGGTTCATGGGTAGTTATAAGTAAGGTTATAAGTCCCCTAATATGGGTTATAAGTACAGCTACCCTACTTAAAAACTGTACTTATAACTACCCCTAAACCCTAATCGGTTATAAGTACAGTTACCCTACTTATAACTCTACTTACAACTACCCATGAACCTCCATGTAGAGTTTGACATTTGGCGCTTCGGGTTTAGTGTTTGGGGCTCAAGGCTTAGGGTTTGGTGGCTTGGGGCTTAGGGGGTTTTGCAAACCTGTGCCAGACACCCCTGCATAAGGAGATGACCGGAGCCCCACCCGCAAACACAACAGAGTTCAAGCGGCTGTTGGGTGAAGAATAAAGCTTGGGGCCTGAGGCCTTCAGGGTTCAGGACTAATTCGCGGGTCAGTTTCTGAAATTTGGCACTTGGCATCCCGCCAAGCCTTCAATTTTTTTACGCGAGCGAGTTGGCCAATATGAGGGACACATCAATACAAAGAAAACATGACATAGGCGCTCGGTATACCCGACGGGCAAGAGGTAAACCATGTTTCTTCCACGGCGTTCCAGCACATGCAACATCTGAACCCTAAGTCCTAAGCCCTCAACCCACAAAAAACTCGTAACCCCAGCAGCCCCTACTCCTCATGCCACCCTCAGAAGCCCAAAATCTCGAGTCCACCAAAATGTTGAAAAGCTCAAACTCCTCTGGCCACATCGCCCAAAGACCTCTCAACTCGAATCCAGTCGCCTCATGCTCCCAAACACTCCTCGCTGAATCTCCCGGACGCTTACCAGAAAGTGGGGGAATGGGCTGTGGGAGATTGTTATGGGAGATGCTGTAGTACAGGAACTACTGCTAGGATCCATTCCCCATTCGCTGCGAACCACAGAGTCATATCCCAGCGTCAAGCTGATGCACAGCATGACTAAGAGCATGGAGGTGGTCCAGATCGCGCCGCAAGAAATACCTTGGGATTTCCAGTTTGGGGCTTCTTGCTTTTGGGCTTAAGGTAGGAGTTCCCGAACATTGGGGGTACCTTTTTGTCTTACTATTTGGGGGTACTATATCTCCAGGGGAATCCTCTGCTGCTGCAGCAAGAAACTCTGGTACTAGCGGAGAGCCTTCACCGGGGATGCAGGGCTAAAGGTGTAGGCATTGGCATTCGGGCTGTCATACTGTTGATGATATAAATCCTGCATTACCTTAAGGGCCCTGAACTATGGGAATTATGGTATATTCCCTAATATGGGTCATGCAGGATTTATATCATCAACCGTAGCTTCAAAGAATCTAGAGTTTATAGGCCAGAGATCTGAGCACAGCAGTGATTCACGTCTAGGACGTCGGACTCGCTGTTCCAACTCCGAAACTTTTAAAGCCTGATGCATACCAGTGGTGTTTTGGGATGTAGCCATATATAACCTTTATGCTGTAAGTGCTATGCAAGCTATGCACTAACGCGGTGAAGGGCTCCGAGCTTCAGGATTAAGGCTTAGGGTTTAAAGGGAGTATGGCGCTTATAGGGAGCGTCTGTGGGGCTTGTAGTGTTCTTCAGGGTTTATGTGATGCTTAAGGCTTTTGCATTTGTAAGGCTCAGGGAAGTTCAGGATCTCGGGCGTTGGGCTTACAGGCTGCGAGGTTCCCTGTTGCAGGTTCAAGGAACTACTGTTGATGATATAAATCCTGCATTACCTTAAGGACCCTAAACTATGGGAATCATCGGATATTCCTTATTATGGGTCATGCAGGATTCATATCATCAACCGTAGGGTTTCGGGTGTAAGGCTTGGTCCGCCCCCCTGCGAAAGGAAATCCTCCTATGGCCAGAGGTCGGAACTTTCTACCCAAAACGTTGGCCCTTCCCCTGCTCAGGAAGGGCTCCTTGCCCGCCACAAAAACTACATTCGAGGCACCGAAAGCGACCCAGAATTTGCTGCAAACTATTCCCAGTCCGAGACCCTAAGCCCGAGTCCCCGCATCGTCCGGGTGCTAAGGAACTCAATACAGCTGCCGTAATGGGAGAATCATGTTAAATACTTACTGCACATCCCATTATGGCAACTTAAACTAAGCTCGTTAACAGCTGGTCAGCTAGCTCATAACCCCTTTGTACTGAATAGACATTTTTACGATCCCGAAGAGCGGCCTTGTCAGAAACCCACGAGTCTTTTCTGCAGAGATGTAATTCCTGCGTACAGCACAGCGCTTACCCAAGCCTACAATGTCTTTCATAGCCCACCAAAAAGCGCGCCTCTCCTTTGGAAGGCCTTGGGGAACCTCGTATGAGTATTTGGCCCAATTACTACAACTATGGGGATCCGCCGCCTTGCGATAAGAGCCGCACGGTAGCGACCTGGACTATCACGGCTTTGTGCCAACCCGAATATGCAAGCAAGCCCAGCAGATGCAAACCTGAAGCCAAAACTCTAAACAGAAACCCTTGTACCCTCAACACTCTCCCAGGGACCTGGGCGCCTGCTGCAAGGCCCGGAAGACTTGGATGCCTCGGACTGTGCGATCACCTGGGCGGCAGCGCGCCAAAGAAAAGCAGAAAGCTACGGTTGATAATATAAATCCTGCATGACCCATTATAAGGAATATGCCATAACTCCCATAGTTTAGGGTCCTTAAGGTAATGCAGGATTTATATCATCAACAGTAGTTTCGGCGTTTTGGATCTAGGCTTTGAGGTTGAGTGCTACAGGCTTGAAAGTTCAATTGAAATGATGGGCTAAGGACGAAATTAGCCTGGTCTGCTTGGATCGGCATTTGGGACCTAATCTTTGTGAGTTTACGGGCGATTGCTCTATGGACCTGGCAATTGGGCCAAAGACCTGTGACACGCCCCGCTTTTTACTTTGGCAATCTCCAAACTTACAAAGCATTCACACAACGATGTCAAAAATACAGCCATCTAGAATATAGATCATGAGACGCAACTTTCCAAAGCTGTCCTAGATAGCTCTAACCCACGCTTACCACCTTTCGGGTTGCAACACCGCCACTCACTCTGAAGAACAAACGCTGGCCTTCAGACACGAAGCCGTGAAAGCCAAGAATCTTCATCAGCAGGGCTCACATGGGACGAAGCACCAGGTTTCAGGACTAGGCGGCGTTGCGGGCATGTATGGTGGCAAGTGCAACGAACAAGCCCAAAAACCGCAAATCCCATAGGCGAAGGAACATCGGGGCATTTCCCGTCAAAAACGTCGTTATGTACCTAAACACCCTTCAGAAGCCCGAACCTTACACAGCCAAGCTTGCACACTGCGGTCCGAGGGCTGGCGGCTTGCATGTCAGAAATCAAAGAGATGACCTTTTCCATCGCCAAGACTTCGTCCAGGGTCGGCTCTGGCCTTTTTTTGCAAGAAAACAGATGCCTACCCCCTCCCCCCCATATCCCTTGATGTACACAAATGCAAGCCGGACGTGCCCCTACTATACCCCCTGATCTACCCTCACTACTCCCCTTAATGTCGTTGAAAATCTTCATGGCCGTCATAGAAAACCGCGTATGATCCCTTGATCATCTCCCTGAGAATCCTCAAGCCCTAAACCCTGAACCCATATCCGAATTCCAAGGAAGCCTTTGAGGAAGCTCATCGCCAGACCCTCCGAGGCCGAGTTGTTCCGGAACCAGCCCTTCTGCCGGCTCTTCGCATTCAGATTCCATGCAGTTTGGAGTTTGGGGCTTAGGGTTCAGGGTTAAGGGCAGGATTTAGCAATGAGTTCCAAGGTTTTGGTCATCATGCAAGAATGGTCCACCCGAACGTCTAGCAATTACGGGATTGGTTCGGGGTGCGGTGCGCAGGGGAGCTTTGTTTTGCCTTGAGCAAAAGTGGCGCCAACACAACGGTCTGTGTAACATGATCACCTCACTGATTGGGTTAGAGGTAGCCTGTACCTACACCACGCCATCTATCACGAGCAGCATGCGGCTAAGGAATGGGGCGACCTCGCCCACGCATGATTTCATGCGCGAAGGTGAAGAGGAGGTTCGAACAACAATTGAAAAAAAGTGGGGAGACCTTGAACTTCTTGAACAGGAATTTGGAGCTACTCAAGCCAGGATCGAAGCGATAGAACTCAAAAAAAACCAGGATCGAGCTTTTCGGTTTCATGAGGGTTTAGGGTTTAGGGACCGGTCTTTGGAGTTGGGTTTGACCTCACGATCGGGGTTCTAAGCTTTTCTTTCAAATCAAGACGGCAACAAAGCCTCCCCTGAGTCCCCCTGACGCTTGCGGTACTTACCTTTGGTTCGTAAAAGGGTTACTATAAGGGGATCTATAAGCATACTATAGTATAGCTTATGTTGATGGATCTCGTTCACCCCGTGTTGTTGAGCTGGGTTCGGGCTAGGAAGTGGCCTACTGCTAGACGGTCCAGCAAGATCTGATGCAAAGGATGGGGAAGGTCTTAGAGCTCCCCGAGACGATGGCCCAAACGAAGCCGACCTAGCTCTAGCACTGCTCCGCCGAACTGGCCCTGAACTGGAAGTATCAGAGGGTTCCGCAGGTGCGTTGTTCATTACACTCAAGGCTTGAGTACGAGGCGGATAGACGATGTGGAAATGTCAAGTTCCGAGGAATCGTCTGCTGTTTGGCCAAAGCGCAACTGAGAGGCCAACGGCATGTTTTCAACCGAGGTCAAAAAGCTGTAAACATGCTTCACCCTAACGGCCCCAACCTTCTAAGCTGAATAGGTCCCCACTCAATCCGGAACTCAAGGCGTCGGGACGCGAACTGCTCAACTCCCAACTTTTGTAAGGCGTGTGGATCTACAGGTCACCGGCTTGCTCCAACAGGTGACAGATGCAGCTTTGATGATGTTCCAGCTATCGTCCACGTCACACACTTTGATGTCATCGACCCTCTGGGGCTCCGCCAACCGATCCAGCTTCCCGGTCGCCCTCTCGAAGAGGAACCTTAAATCGCCGTGCAGTCGGCTGAGGATGCGAATAGTCAAGGTCTCGAAGCAACCTCGCCAAACAGTCACGGACCCTCTGCTTCGTATCCCCTTTACAGAGTAGCTGTAAATAAACGAAGGAATCCCCAACTCTTCAAATCGATCCAATGTCGGGATCACCAAGGTATGCGACGGCTCTCTGTCCAATACGCCGTGAGCGTCAAGAGAAGAAAATACCCAGTTATGCCAGCGTTCAGACCAGTTCCTGCGAGCCCCTAGGAGCGTACTGATTTGCCTTCACGAGCCCGACTCGACAAATTCGCGCTGAGAATACGAAGTCGGCTTATCCGATTCAGCTCGGGTTTTATTGGGAGGGGAACCTGGCGGTTCCGGTACAGCCCGGCGGATTCTGGCGACCTCTATGTCCGACGTCCGTTGCAATAGATGGGCTTTACACGATGGCCAGTGAAGCTCCGGGCGAAACAGCAGTAGCAGGTGGAGTCTCAGGTGTCCTATAGCAAGTATGCAGTGTACCCCCGAACAATGGTCCCGCCAGAGAAGTCTCACCAAACACGAAGCCACGCGAAGCCAGACGAAGTCAAGCGAAGCCGCGCGAAGCACGAAGCGAATCCATGCGAAGCTACGAAAGGCCAGGTAAAGCCACGCGCCCCGAGATGCTTGCGCAAAACGCCCGCCCTAGCGGGATCGAAAAGGGCCAAGTGAAGCCACGCGCCGCGAGATGCCGGCGCAAAACGTCCGCCCTAGAGGGACCAGACTCTCCGGCAACCAGTCCCTCCAAAACCTCCTCAAATCTCCGCGGGAAGCCACCGCCCCCCCGAAAACTCGACTCTCGCCATTACTATCTGAGGATTTGACCGGTGTGAGTCGTTCAGCCGGCATCAGCCGGCCCAGCCCGGCTTCCAACAGCTCGCAGAAGCCTGCGGCAATCCTATAATGAAGCCCTCGTCGAACTCGGCCTGCCGAAGATTGGGCGTGCCGCCTCGCCGCGCGTCTGCAAGCTGTAGCGCAGATACTAGCTCGAGGCGAAGAGAAGCGGTCAATGCCGCGGGTCCCACGGCGCCCATGCACAAGCTCAAACACCCAAACGACTCCAACCAATGAAGCAAGCGGGCTGGAGAAGGACGATCTTATCTGAGCCGCTTAAACGGTGCTTCTGTTTGAAGCTGTGCTGCCGTGGCAGACTACGGCTGAAGGATTATGGGCGCGATTCCAAAGGTCAAGAAACCGGCGTACGTACCCTAATCACAAACCTCTCCGATATTTCAGATGCGATAGATTGTTCGAGTCAAATTTATTGGATCAAAGATGCGACTAAACTCTTAGCCAAACATGGAGTACTCCCGTGCAAAACTCAAACTAGCAATCCCGAATCAACTTACACCCATTCTGGACTCTTAAGACTCTTAAGCTGCTGGTTGTTTGCTCAGCAGCCGAAGCAGGGTATCACACAGACGCGTCAGCGGAAGACAACTGCCTCAAGGGTTTAGTAAGCTGGTACGACGGTGGCCGCTGCAATGGGCCTAACCCTACCGTACCTTAACCGACGAAAGTGGAGCAAATCCTCGCCAAAGTCGTACCGACGGCGGATCAAGCTACGGACTAATCAACACCACCTGACCTTGACTCTCACCTGCCGGTTTCCTCGGGATACTCTCTTTTGACAATATTCAGGGAACCAGTAGGACAGAAAGGAAGTCCGAAGGTCCTGGTACAAATAAAGACGGGTTTTCAATGTCGAAGGAAAGATTTCGGGTTCGGCTTTGCATGCAAATCCATGCTGTGGCAGCGCAGACTCTGGATACAAATCTCGACTGAAAAGTTTGGCTCTAACCCCAGGAGTGCGGAAATACGGAAAGGAGTATGGATGACGAGCGTCTTTGCTAGACCTTCTGTACACCGGTTTCAAGCAACCTCTGCTAGTTGCACAATTCCGATCATATGGAAAAAAGTGGCTATTATGAAGTTCTGAGGCTGCTAACCAGTTGAACACGAAGGAAACCGTCGCGTTGCAATAACACGCAGTCACGAGCAGTTGTTTGACTTGAGCCACATACGTCGCACAAGTCCACTGTTGATCTGTCCTAACATGCCTGTACAGGACATGTACCGAAGGTGCAAAAGATCCGCAAACTGATAACTGTTCTCATTGCTTTTCAGGATCCCAATCCCCATAAACATTCGAACGCGAATCCCTTATCCCCTCAGCGAGCGAATCCCCTGGCCCAACGCGCAAACCCTTCTAGTGCAGCCCGAACCTGTGCCCTCAAACAATAGCTCTGATCTTAAAGCCCAAATCTTGGACTGTGCCTTGGTCTCCGGTATCCCAGCGAGTTCATCGAAATGCCGACGATGTAGCGCTGCTCTTGCCAGCCTCACGAGGCAGTGTGACTGCTTTCCTAACCTCGCTTTTTGGCAGCCCTAATCCACCCATAATCGGCCCTCTACTTGAAACCCTGGGCCCTAAGCCCCTACAAAGCACGTCGAACTCTCCATCGGGCTTGTAGGGCGAACGGTCTGCACTGCTTGACTAGTACTCGGAAGCCCGACATCACGAATTAAGCCCCCAACCCGAATCCGGAACCCCGAATCCCAAAGAGTAGCTTAGCTTCGGTCTTGGCCTGGCCTTTAACGCCACCCTTCCTGCAAACCTCTAGGTACATAGCTGTACCCCAGAAATCCCTTTATGGGGTAGCGGGGCTTCTACCCGGAGACTGCTGAATCCTTGTACTCATAGGAGAAAGGGGCGAACATCAAACTCTTCACCAAACCACGTGAAACCTGGTAAAGCCCTGCAAACAATTCCTATTCCTAACTTCAAGCAAGAGGCGTAGCGGACGTGTCTCGCTGCAGCGGTTCTGGAGGTTTGTGGTTAGGGTTTGGGTGATGTCTGGAAGCCGCTCCGCTACAGAAGCTCAGAACATCGCCTGCACAGCAGCTGGAACTGGCGCGCAAAAGCGCTTCGGGGCGCTCCGCTCATAGCGTAGCCTTGGCTGGACGGCAAGCGTAGATGCATCCTCCCGCCGGCAGAAACCATTTGCGTTTCTGCCACATGTTCAAGAAGGTGACACTGCTTGATGCTCCAGGCAGCAAGCAGAGGGACCAAAAGAAAGATCCACCAAAACCGTTACGCTGTCCCTTGTGCCCGGAAATGGGGAAGACTTCTTCCCGACGGAACTCGTTGGGGGTCTGGAACTGCATTGGCAAAACGATTTGTTGGAAGAATGAACCTCGTTTTGTTCACAGAATGTTTCACCAAAAGAACGCAAGATGCACGGCCAAGCTTGCCGAGAACAATCATCAAATTGCAATGCCCCCACACACAACCGTTCGTGCTGGAATCCAGAACCAGCTGAGCCGAGCAGCAAACGCTCCTGCTGTGTTAGAGGGTTCGTGCTTGTA